ACTATTAAGGAGCGATGTAGTCTAACTGCTGTGGCACAGGAAAGTCACTTCACCCTCATCCTTTTAGGGTGGATGAAGGAATGAAGGCAGGTATGGCAACCCGTGCTTCTATTTGGTCTTGGTTCTAGGGTTCCTCTGGGAGAACAGACATTTACGTCGTTGGTTCCAGCTCTGAAACAGCAGCAAGACTTTTTGTAAGACCCCATGACAGCTCTTACAGAGGATACAGTGGACAAAAAGGCCTTTGGATTAGAGGCGGAAGTGCTGACATGCTTCCAAAGAGAAGATGCTGCATACATGAGCAATCTAGGCTATTGACAACACCAATTAACAACTGGGTCCCTTTCAGAGCTGTATTAAAACTTTATTTCTAGGTAAATAACTGTTTCTCCTGATCAAAATATTAGCAGATGTACAATGAAAGACATAGTTCACTTCCACTTGAGCTGGAGCCATGGCATCCTCTTACTAGGAAACCATCATATTGGTGAGTGTGTACAAACTCGGCATCCTTTGTGCAAATTCTTTATTGAAACAACGATCAATTTACAAGCTGGATCACATTTCATTTTGCCACTTCAGCATGAACTGGTCTCTTTGTGGTTTACGGCCATAAACTATAAATCATAACAGTTATTTAAATCAAAATACAGTAACTGCTTCTCAAAAGAACACATTCATATTTGTCTTACATTACTTGTAAAATCAAAAAGGATTTCATAATAAATGAAATATAACTTAAGATACTTTAGTGCAAGCATTTCCTTTGCATCTAAGAAGCTTTCAGTTGTCCCACTAAGTACGGCATACTTAAGAGGCCAACTCTTAAAATAGCATGCTGCCAAGATATTCCATGAGAACTTCTAAAATTCAACACTTAACACTTTCAAGAATTAGTTGATCCGAACCAAACTGAATGTCAGAAAGCCCTGGTTATACATTACAGTACTTTTGTCAAAAGGTAACTGCAAATTGAGGAACTGACAAAGTATGTACATTAGAATAAAACAGGCACTGATTTTTAAAAAATCAACATCTGCCCATATATGCCATTCTGCAAGTCTTATGATTATACAGTAATTTTTAAGCACAGAAGTGAACTGCTGTGCCTTACCTAACACCAATAAACCTGCACAAAAATGTTGATCTATGGGTTCTTTTGAATTTTTTAAGTGAAAATCTCAAAAAACGACTGAAGGGTAGGTTTCATCACAAGTATACTCCAATCAAGAGAACAAAAAAGGATCTGGAGTAGACAAATGCTGCTCAAAAAGAAAATGTTGAGTAAGTAGATAGTGACAACTATGTTCAAGTGGTCTGATTAACATGGTCTTACATTTAGTGAAAAAAAGAACAGTAAGTGTAAAATTCAAATCCAACACGGATTTCTTGTGCTGCAGGAATCTAGTCATGTTTCATGAAGTTTTGGCAAAAATATTTTAAAAGGGTGTAACTGCAACTCTCTTTTCCTTTGTAAGCTTGGCTTGGTGTTTTTAGAATGCAAATTCAGTTGGACTGGATTTTCCAGATTCTGAGTGTTTTAAGAACCATTAGTGTTTGGTGATACAATAAAAAGAACAATGCAACAGGAGGTGTGCATAGTCCAATGACAGGAACAGATCACTCTAATGTTCCTGACATGCTTAAGGTGCACGAAAATACGTAACAATGCAAATGTTAATGTTTTCTTAGATCTAGCATTAATTTTATACGTTAATTGTGTACTCGTACCATAAAATAACCATTCCCTACAAAATACTGCAAGACAGAATTGTTTCCTTTGTGATAGCACAGCCAGCAAGTTTAGAACACAAAGATGGGTTTGGGTCTTGGTTCCCATCTATCTCCCACAAAGGAAGTGCCTGAAAGCACGTGAAGAGCTTTAGGCTTACAGGTGTCGTGTGATGGATGCATAATGATACTGAGCAGCGTACATGAAAACAGAAAACCATACATACAGCAGAACCATTACAACCTAGATTTTCTTCAGGTGCAGTGCTGTTCTGCTTTTATTCCGACAATATGGCAAAGCTAAATGCCCAAAGAATTTGTAGCAGACTGGCTGGAAAAGTTCCACCTGTAAACTCACAGGTCTGAGTCCAGCTCCAGCAAAGGCAAAGTTCCCCGTGACCGCAGGAGTTCAGCACTGCACCTTTCCTGTGCGTCTCATCCAAATAACTGGTGCTCCTACGTGGCTTGCAAGGTATGTTTGTGTCTGTTTCAGACAACCTTTGGAAAAAAACGTAATCTCTATCGTAAGGAAGTTTACACAGCGATACTGAAGAAAACCCTGGGGATTGTTTGCTCTCAAATGTTTCTCAATAAATAAATAATAAACAGGCTGGAGGACAGCCTGAGGGCAGCAGTCAAGATCAGAATTGCCTAGTACCAATTACCATAGGAATACATGAAGGAGTCTGGTCCCTAAAAAGTTCGTCATTAAGAAACAACTAAAATTAAAATGCTATAGTTTCACAAATAATTGTGACACTCTAAAAAATATTTAAAAGTTTAATAATAGTTAATAATTTTCAAGTTATTTTTATGCTTATAAGGAGAACATCCTTGCTCATCTGTGCAATCTTAGTTGGGCACCAGGCAGGTAACCTCAGAATGTACAAGCATCGTTTGCAAATGCTGCATAGGTGAAAAATCAAAATGCCTCTTTTCAGGAGGTTAAGGTGAATTACAAGCATTTAGTGCAAGTACCTGCTTTTGTTTCTGCTCTCATCTTTTTTCATACCAGCAGCAAATTAAGTAACCTGAAAAACTTTGTGAACACTAAACAGAAATGTACTTTGGACTCAGACAAGAAGTTAAATGTTTGCATCAGTAGTATTTTCAATCACACTGATCAGAAGTGAGGTTCTTTATGGTATTCTTTTAATCTACCCTGTGTTCTAGATTTATATTGCTTCACTGGAAATAAAATATTTCCAGACACATTCCTAAAGGGACCTTGCCCTTGGATGTTTCCTTCTGGGCATGTGCAAATGCATTTTGTATAGATGCCTGCCACTGTGGTGAGCACAAAAAAGGTTAGGCAACTAAACGCTCTCACTTTCACAAGCTGGTTGCAAAATCGAAAATCTGTTATTAAACATATATATATTTTTTTAATATCCACAGAAAGGCACAGATGGAGCCTTCTCTCTGCATCACCTATGTAAGTCTTGGGGTGTTCCTGTATTACCCTGCTAGTGAAGTTCTGCAATTTAATATGATGAAGTTGACATAAAACCTCAGTTCATCACCAAGGTTTTTTTTTTTTTAGATAGCTGCAACATTGACTGTCTGGTCTCAGTTACCTGTGCAGTTAATATACCCGACGGCCTCCAATGGACACCTTATGTCAATACTTTAATAAAATGTCCAGAGAGCCATCAACACGTCATCTCCCCACACACCTACATTTTGACTTCTTTTTCTGCAATATACTTGATTCCAGATTTATTTTGAGTATTTGTATTTATACTACAGTCTTTCCTAAAAACTAAAAGGTCATAGTTTGTTTATTGGTTCCAAATTAAATGAGTGTCAAGTAATTACTAATATGCTGTTAATCCCACACAAACTCCTCCTTGTGAATGTTTTCTTTACAGACTCACTTCAGAGAAGGTCCTTCTCATTGTCTGTCTGCAACAGAAGTTATCACTTCCCTTCCAGTCATGGCATGTCGATCCTTTTTAATGCCACAGTCGCTGTGATCATTAAAGCTTTACTGGTGTAGCGTCAAACAAACTCAAGCAATTAACATCCTATGTAGGCAGGCGTTTCTTAAAATACCAAAACAATAATAACACAGTGAACAGTTTGTGCGATCATCATTGTAATTTCACAGGACACTTGATTATAATATTTTTTTTTTTTAATTTGGATAAAGCACTCAAATGTATGCTTATAGATGAGAATCCCGGTAAAAGGGTCTTCTTCCATTTCAGCCTTGTCATCAGCTGATTACTGGCATTTGCAGGACTGTTAAGAAACCTGCATATCTTCTAGTAAGGTAGTGCATACTCAGTCCTACCAAATTACTACACAACAAGGTATCTTGCATATTTGCAGCTGTTTTCCATATAAACTTCTGGCAAAGAAAAAATGATCACATATACACAGAAAAAAGCCCTGCACATCTGTTGGAGTGCAACTTCCTGCAAGGTGTTTATGGGCTTTTCCATCTGTAAAATACACCTCAAAGTTGTTTCTCTATGTGAAAAAAACCAGTTGTTGGCATCTTCGTTCCATGGAAAAGGGAAAACTATTTCCCATGTGCCTAAGCAGTGTGGTCTCAAATGAAATGGAAACATTTTAGCTTTCTTTAATAGCCCTCTAAATCACAATGCAGCTGAGCAAACAGGCTTTGTAAATGGGATCTATTAGAATTTTATTTGGCTACTGGAGTGCTGCCTCTTGGGCAATATTTCAAATTCACAAGATATTATTTGCAAAAATGGAATAGATGGAAATAATGAGAGTGAAGGAGGAGAACGAATACCAGTTTTATATTTAGTAAATTCAAGTGTCCTACATCAAAGACGACCAATGACTTCGAAGAGGCCACTACAGGTGACTCCAACCTAGAAAATGCTGAGGTAAATGTTTCTTGGAAATACTCCTAATCAAAAAGAGCAATTAATATTAACGTAATAGCAATTACTCTGCCATACATCATGGTAAACTAATGTCAAACTGAGAAGAAAGTGCCAAATAATCCACATACATGCTTTTGCTATGATAGTCTCCAGGTAAGGCTTAGCGGCAAGTACAATATGTTTTTTTAAAAGAGCTCCACCTGATTTTCCTGCTATGCATAGATTCAGGAGTAACTATCATACATGGCTTTCATATATAACACATGTATTTTTGTCATTTGCCAACGCTGTGTCTTCAGAACTGAGTTCAGCAGAAGGCTCAGGAGGGGACTCTGCAGGAAGTGCTGGTGGTTGAGGAGTGTCTTCTTCCTTGGTGTCCAACTGCATGCTTTCTTGTGACTGACCATCCATGCAGTCCTTTTTGGACAACGGGTGAACTGACACTTTTATTGCAATCTGTTGAGGTGGCTCATGCAGTGACGAGGCATCGGAGTCAGCTGTGGGAGAGTCACTGCGCTTCAGAGAATTCGGGATCATATACAGCTCGTCTGTTTCAGTGGTTTCCTGGCCTTCTGCTGTCTGCCGTACAAAATTCTGTCCTTGCTCCTCCAGACCGACGACCTCCATAATTTCTTCCATTATAGTCCTGCAGTTCATAATGAGAGGTGGCAAGGGTACACTCCGAGCGAGCTCTTCAATATAGCGAGCAAATTCCATGGTCTTGAACTGGGTTACTTTGGCAAGCTCGAGCGTTTTGGCTGAAGTGATAATTGGGATACGCTTTGCAATCTCAAAGGCTTTTTGGAGTTTCTCTGCTCCTTCTGTTCTGAAGAATTCATTGATTGCCTTCTCTGTTTTCTTCAGATGACTGCTCATCATACATAACCGAGTTATGTTCAGTATCATAACAATGGTAAAAGCTACGAGGCAGACAATCATGTAATAGATTCCCATATCTCCGGACGTAAAAACAACCCTCAGCGTCACAGTATTGTTAACACTGCCATACGTATTAGATGCGACACATGTGTATTTACCTCTGTCTGCAAAAGACACGCTGGTAATGTTTAGTAGCCCATTGTCAAGAAACCACCATTTTCCTGCTGGAGAGGAGACAGAGTAACTTAGTTAGAAGTGTTTTGTTCACATGATCAGCATAGTCTTAAATGTCAGCTTTGTCAAACTGGCCTCAGATTTTGGAAGAAGGAAATAATGTTGATGAGAAGACAAAGAATTTGTCATTGCAAAGGCTTGTCTGCCCCTGAGATCCTAGCTGTGTTACTATGAAATCACTGAGTTCAACTGAATAATTGGATCATGCCCCGAAAGTCTCATAAAAAACATTCACATGCATAACATCTGTCACAATCTTATAGTCTGTTAAGTTGCAAAGATAGGACTGCTTACTCCAGAGAGCCTCCCAAACACAGGCTCCACCTCCTCAAAGAACAGTAGCAATAGGATTGTGAGGCAGAAAAACCTACTAAGCTTTCTTTGTTTTGTTCCCTGACAACACATTTTTTTTTACAGTTGGGTTATTTTTGGTGTTTTGTTACAGTATCTCATGCAATTCTGTTAATGTAAACTTAAAAAACCCTAAAACTGCAGATATCATGTACTATACTGCCTACCCTCTGAGAAGAGGGCAGGGAGGTAGAGAAGAGCCATGACCAGTTAAGAGGACACCTTGTTTGCCAATATGAACTTTTACGCACCACGATGGAATTTCTTTAACTTTAAAAGTAATTTCTCTCAGTGTAATATAATTGATATCTTTGGTCGCTACATGTAATTGTACATATGCATTTCATATTCTTTGAACTTGGCACAGCAGAACAATTTAACCATTAAACTGAGTTTTAAATAATGTTAAAATCCATTGCTCCTATCACTGCTAAAGTGATTCAAGACTCAGCTAGTTACTGTGTTTGCCATTATATACTGGTAACAAATTAAGAATTTTAGTTCCCCAAGTAAGCTTCATTTTTATACAACTGTCACTACCATTTAAGAGCCTAGGATGTATATTTTTTGCTTTATTCAGTGTGATACAACTTACTAAGTTGCAACTTTGTTATAAAAATCATGATTCAACTCCAATAGGAAAGTCTGGCGTCAATTCTTTCCTTCATGTAAACCCACCCCTGGACGTGTTCACATGGTGGAGAGAACAGCCAGACAGTGTAGGAGTGCCTTTGTGCTTCCTACAGGGAGATGTCACACAGATTTCCTTTTAAAACAATGACATAGGCTGATGTAAGCCAACAGGATCATCTAGTACATGCTGCTGCTCAGAGACAGACTCAACCATTTTCAGTCTCTGTAACACAATCCCAAGCCATTCCAGACAGGTATCTCCTGAAGGCTGTAACGGCATTTCAGTAGCCTTCCACAGGAAGGATTTTCAGGTGTTCACTATAATATCAGAAAGTTGTTTTCCCTTAAACCTAATCTAACCAGCTGCAATGTAAGTCTACTAAAGGAGCTGAGCAAAGCCATAGAACCTGTGATTAAAGGACTAAAACAGCACAAAATCTCTGCGCAGTGCATGTAAATCATGAGGCAAGGACTGAAGTGCTGGTACAAGTTGGTGTATACCTTGCTGCTACACTTATTTTATCCTTTTCCTGGAAGTTCTGAAAGATTATTCTGATTTTTTTACTTTATTTCTTTCAAACAAGAATCTGTGGTCAATTCTGAAACTCATTAGGAAAAAAAAAGCCTTTAATTCAGAATAGTTATGAGCTTTTAACATTCTAAAAGTTTTTCTAATTAAACGTGTCCTATCCAAATTGGTTTTTTACATTACCTCCAGTAGAAGCCTATGTAGAAAGTATTCCCTCAAGATCCCTGCCTCAGTTCCTGTATGGACAGTTCTTAATTACATCTTTTTATTCTCTTACTTACGATTTTTTAACTTAGCTGAAACACATCTTTTGCCCTATCTTAATTCTTGAAAACAGCTGAATAACTTTGCCTGAAATGAAAAAAAGAATAAAAATAAAAGCTTAGTCTAAAGTTCACATGAAAAAATCACACCAATCTGCTAAAGTTAGGCAAGTTTGGAGGAAAACTCTTACAGAGGAAAGGTCACCATCTGTAACAGATGACACTTCTTTCTCCACCTCTAGAATAAGAAAAAAACACAGAGTATTGGCTACTCGGTTTTTCTTTGACTTGCAATGCTGGCAAAGTTTTTCTTTATTAATTGTAAAATAACAAGACGCCTTCATGATATATCCTGGCTCCAAGTGTTTTAAATGACATAATGGCATTGAACTGTGACTCAGTGACTGGGTCTGTTCCAGGCAGATAGTGTAAGCCTAATGAGAAAACAATGATTAGAGAAGGTATCATTGCTGGGGTTTGATAACAATTCAATGCCATATTCAACATAACTATACACATAGTAAAGGGTCTTGTGCTAGGAAACATTTCTTACAGGAATATAGTTTCTTAAAGGAGTAAGTGCGCTGTTGAAAGTCTAAGTTAAAGTGATGTCTTAATACTACATCTGCAATTTTTACTGATTTGGCAGAAGTTTTCGCTCACCTGCCTAAGTATTTGTGTTAGCAGCTACCTCTTTCAGTTGACTATACAAAGACCTAAAGTTAGCTGCCTTACTAAAGGGGAATATTTCTGTTACTTAGCCTTAGTAAAACTCTCTAGTGCTCTTAGCACAGTATGTTGCCATGACTGCACAAATTATATCCGAAAGTCTGCTTACTATCTCAAATAGTTCTTTTCTCTAGCTTTACTCAGAAAGAGATAAAATACTGTAATGTAAAATATACCCAGTTATGCAGTAAGCTTTTACAAATACACTATGCTGTTGCACGTCCAGCTGGGTCAGTCATTACTGCCATCACAACAGAGTTCTCCCTTAGGTCAACTATTAGTTAGGCAACCTACCCTGCATTTAGTATGAATACCTAAGAGTTTATTTCATCACACTGTGAACAAAGCAGTCAGTATGGAAGGATTACATGAGCAAAACACCTTCCATCCCCCCCGAAACGTTCCCTAGAAGTATAACTAGGATTATCACCCAAACCTTCCATTTAAGGAAAACAAGCTCATGTGTTATTAAGGTCTCTGGCAAATGCAACTGAAGAGTCTTAACTAAAGCCAGGAAGGCTCAAACTTGGCTTGTCCTTCTGACTGCTGCCCTATATAGGTTTTTCTGTTGGTCATTCAGGGCATCTCCTTGAGTTGGAAAATTGTGAGCTGGAAAGTTTTTCGGTATTTTTTTGGTGCCAGAGAAGAACAAAAGAGGACAGAATGGAAAATAAGATAAAACCTGAAATCTTCCAATGAAAAGAAGCCTGTCTACATTTTCTGTTAGGTGCTTCAGCTTCTTTCTATGTGTTGCTGTAAATAACACATTAGAAAAAGGTTATTGTTTTCTTCCACGGTGCACACAACAAATTTATGGCTGCCACCAGGCTTTCATATATTTTCATACAGAAAAATACCAGTCAGGCCATTAAATTCAGGTTATTTGTCAACCTGCTGAAATCGGAAGTGTCTTTGGACAGGCAACATCAGTGAGAATATTAAGATCTTACCTTTATTCTCCTCCTCTTGGAGCAGGCGGCCGTTGGAATTGTACCACCTGTAATGTGGACTAGGACTACCTTGGACATTGCAGTCGATCAAGGCACTACTCCCCTCCTTGACTATAATGTGGTCGATGCGGGAGATCACCACAGGCACAGATCCCATGTTCATGTCAGTGCGGTTGAAAGTGCTATTAGTCACATCCTCAGCAGTTGTCAAAGCTGCTAATAAGATGACAAGGCGCGTGGTAGGCAGAAAGTACAAAAAATGGTGGCTGTTCAGTACGTTCATTTTCCTTCGGTGGTAGATGCAACTGGCTGGGAACTGGGGTCAGTTCTATTGAACCTTGAGGTGTGGAGGTCACAGGAGAGTTCTACCTTTGATCTGTGCAATTTTATGTTTAAAATATCCTATGAAATAAATAAATAAGTACAATGAGATGGCATGTATAAACAATCCATTAGATGTGCTCTCTTAAAATAGTGACGCATCCATTAATGCGTTTCACAATCATCAGTCTAAATGCTAATGTTATCACAGACCTTATTCTTACTGGAAAAAGATGCATACGTTTTCCTGACAATAGTGTTGTTCAGAGTGGCAGGCGTGGGAGAAGGCTTTTATCACCTAGACACTTAGCAGCAATTTAGCTACAGCAGCAGCTATAGTTTTACGTCAAAAGTTCTACAGATCCAGCGTTGGGGTCTTTTTATATTTGCAAAATCAACAGGGGAAACAAAGTTAAAGCTTTCAGTGCTGCAACTCTGTCATGTGCATGGTCTTAGGTGAATTATGAACCATGGTGTAAGAAAGAACAGCTCCATGAAAAGTTTTTGGAGGTGATGTTGGAATCCTTAATATATACAATTTTGTCCAAATACAATAGCACGTACAGCAAAACATATCAGACCATTCACTCTTCTTAAGCTACTGCATTTTTTTAAAGTTTTCTGAGATAAAACATAGCATGGAAAAATATTCTTAAAAGAGGATATTTAGTATTTGAAAAAGTCATTTCAATGTCACCTTTAGAGCATATTTAGAAAGAAAAATACTCACTAGTGACATAATTATGGATAGGGTTTCTTTGAGACACAAATGAAGTTGGGACTTTTCCATTCCTTATGTGGCATTAAGCATTTTGCCTGTATACTTCTTGTAAGCTCTCACTACAATATTTTCCCTCAACCAATCATCTACAACTATTCTTAAACAGTGATTTCAGTTTGCAGACAGAGGACGAGGATTACAAATGTGCTCTCTGTTGGCCTCATTATGCTCCCAAGGAACACAAGGGGCATTCAGCACTCACTGAGGCCACAAGTTAGGTTCAAATCACATCAGGGTATCTAACTACATTGGTTTTAGTCACGTGTTTTTAAAGTAAATAATTGAAACCTGGTGAAACTTATTAGTTGGAGGAATCTATCTTGAATCCAGATATAGGTAAATATCTAACAAACTTGCCCCAAATTAACATTTCCCTTGTAAAAATGTTTACATTTTATTAAATATCTGGTTGACACCATGGTAATTCATCTACCTTAGCATGGAAAACGACTGCTCACAAGGTAAGGTCAGTTCCATATATAATGGAAACAGTAAAATAAAAACAAGCAAACAAACAAACAATCAATCCCCTTCCCTCTTTTCTTCTTTGTTCAAGAAGAAAAGAAAACAACATCACTGTCTTTCACTGGTAATATTTGACTTAGGTTGTTTTCTTCTCCATCCTCTGTTCTCTGTAAAGCAATGAACTTGATTTTATACAAATAGATAAAACTATTATTAAAAAAGCAAAAGAGTTTCCTGCTTCTTGCAGGATGAATTATTACTAGAAATTAAAAACTCTGTTTTTTAAAATAAGGTGCACGTTTGGCATGGATGCCTGTCACAGTCCTAGCCCACCCCCTTTTTTTTCTAATTATTGAATGTGGAAATACTTGTCTCAAAGAGCCAGAATAATTTTTAACTTTAAGTTAATATGCAAACTTCATTTGTCATATAAAGCTATATAAACAATGACTTCAGAAATCCATTTCCAATTATGCAAAGCATGTAGAGCCTGCGCTTTGGAAGTTCCATGTAGGCACAGCCTGTTTGAATCGGCGCTTTAGAAAAAATCCTTCAATTCTGCCTGTTCACTTCAGTAACTATTTACATCTCATTTCTGCTACTCCATGGAGTAGTATGGAGACAGCCATTCTTTATGGTTAAAAATATTCACTCCATGAAATGTTTCTGTACAGTGTTACAGATCTGCATTGCGCCATACAGAAAAGCCAAAACTCACATCACACTTCCTGGCAAGAGAGCAGGAACAACGACTGGCTGGTTTAAGACAATGGGAAGGGCAAGAGAACAACATAAATTGATTAAGCTTTGTGTTGCTAATTACTGGCTGTGGCTTGTTACTACTGTATTTGAGCCTACTGTATTTTTTGATGGCATAAAAATCAGTGGCAATCAAAAAAGGTGTTTACCATGGGGAACAATTTGTAGTCCAGAAGGAAAGGAAATAGCATCACCCCAACGGGTGAATAGAAAACTTGTTAGGAAGGACCCATAGTGTATGAGGAAGCTCAAAGCAGCTGGTAGTCCACTGAATCCCTACAGTACAGGGATGCTGTGGACAGATATTTGGAAAGTGTGTGACGGCAGTAACAATTTAAGGTGCACCTATTCTGTATGTTTGTGTTTAACACAGAGCATATTGAAGCAAAAATACATATCTTTGTGTAGTGATAATGAATGTGACTGGTTCTTAATAAGGTCAAATGGCTAATTACTTGTCTGAAAATAACTGACTCCCTCACTCTGGCACAAAATTGAATCACGAATAGCTGCAGTAAGTTTTGAGAAATAGAGCCAAACCATTTATGTGGAGTCCCTGGTGACAGGGAGGCTGGATTAAAATGATCTCAGGTCCCTTCCAGCCTAGACCATTCTATGATTCTATGATACTGTGGGAGATTCATACCTACTCATGTCACTTCTAGGAATCTACTTTCCAGTGTACGTTCCTGGAATGTAAAATATTAAGACAACACTAAATAACTCTGCAGATGCATTTCTGTTTGAAATAAATACAATTTGATGGCTAGTATGAGGAATAACCAAGCAGTATGTTTAAAGCAGTATGTTTGGAAATGGTGGTGCTGCTTTCACATGCTCTTGATGAATGCTTAAGTACCTTTAAGGAGTCAGGGAGAGACCTCACTGAAGAATGGTGTTTTACGATACAAGTTTAGACAAATGTTCCCAGGGTATCTAGGAAGTGACAGGCAATCTTTTCCTTGGTGTGTATCCTCTGCAATGTTAGTGAGGAACAAAAAAATGGAAGAAACCAAAGAAGGATTTCTCAGCCACAAGAAAGTTAAACGATGGCCATGCAGGCACTCTGCATGGCCAGGACCTCTGCTGAGCAGGGCCAAAAGTGCTAGAGTCGGGTTTGGAAAACAGGAAGAAGCAGAGAACTGAAAGGGTAGAAAATGTGCTCACCACAGACTCTGAAGCAAAGGGAGATTTCCTGCATGTTTCTGTTCTCCCACTTTGCTGTAGGCTCAATAGCAGCCTGAGGGTATCAGGGAAAACAAATCTGCGAGCCAGCTGCTTTGTTAAACAGAAGTGATGTAATGGGTTATGGTTCAATTGCACAACTAAATGGGGAGAAGGCTAAGGAGACCAAAATAGGACTGCTAGTGACATGTGCCCACTTCTGGAGAAGAAGGAAGAGAATCTGCAATATCGGACAAATGGGTACAGTGCTGTCACCCTGGATCTTGGCCATGAGAGGCGGTAATTAGCTGTGGCCCATAATAAACCTGATGGAGGCAGCCAAAATTGTAACCTTTTAATCTGACCTGAAGTCAGAAAAAAATGGACTGCCTAGACTAAAACAAAGATTCCTGTAATAACTCCTCAAGACTGAGTAACCCAGGCCACTAATGAAGGAGGACATCTGCAATATGGAGTATGGCTCTGTAGGAACAGAGGGAGTCTCTGGGAGCATTTTTGCCAGAAAAGGGTCACTATGAACAAAAAGTTAAATTTCTGGTCATGCAAAGAATAAGCGTTCCTTTCTTGCATCCCCAAAGCACATGAGCTACCTGCAAAAGACCTATATAAAGTAAAAGTTTATAAAATAGTTAATGTGGCTGCATACAGTTGTTTGTTTGTTTAAATTTTAAAACTGTGGTGCATTGAAAAAAAAAATAAGAACCCCGACTATTCTGAGCTACCTTTTCCACCTGAAGCTGTAGTGAGAGGCAGGTTTACCTCACAACATGGAACCAGAGCAATCCCCAAACTCTCCTCAGGCACATAGAACATATATATAGCTAGCTTACCCTGCCAAATTGTATTTGTAGCAACATTTACCACTGAAACATGGTTGCCAGTGGTCCTTACATTAAATAGGCTTGATTTTTAACTCCCCAACCCAAATGCTATACACTGAAAGTCTGAAAATAACAAATTCACTGATCATGGGAAGAACTTCCAAGGAAAACTGCATGAGACTTGAGCCACATAAGGGAACTATGATAAGCTTTTCTTCTAAATGACATGATAGCCAGCTCTATCCAGAGAAGTTCCCCGGAATGTGATCCTGAACAAGCACATCTGCAAGGTGGTGGTAATACTCCTAACTATGTGAAACAGGGACAAAAACTGAGGTTAAAACTTCTCTGTCCAAAATCAAGCATCAATCTAAAGAGAAGACACACCTCAGACTGGCTGGGAACACCAATTAGAGACATGTTCTGATAGACTATGTATTTTTCCATGTCACAGAGTGGTATGACTGGCACCAAAGAAAATGACTGTAGGTGAGGGGCTACGTTTTTAAGTACTGCATTTGTGCAGAACAACATGATGACAGAGCACAAAAGAACAGAAAAGGAGGGCAGTGATGCATACGTTTTCCTGGCTCACTCTCTTCTGTAAGACTGGCCTGTTCTTGTTCTTGGAATAATGTGTAATCCTATTAACTGTGAGGTTATTCAATTCAGAAGTGAAGCACAAGAAGCCAGCTTATTGTATAATGCATGAATTATGTTCCCAAAGCTTTAACATCTCAATGCTATCTTGCTTGGCTTGTAAGTGATCAAGAAAATCAAAAGATTTTCATTCTAGTTCTCATTTGTCTACAAATGAATATCAAGGATGATGCTACAAAACAAAATTAAAGTTAATTCTTTATTATTTAAAAACTAATTACTACCTTTCCTGGTTTCCATGGGCAATGCCTTTGCAGACTGGGCAAAAGTAAAAGTTAACAGGTTTTACTG